AAGAGGAAACACTATAAGCAAGTTAATAAACTATAAGCAAGTAATCCTACTTTTTCAGGTTAAGATCATCGAATAATTCAATATATATAACACCTTTCCTCATAACAACTAAACCAAAACCGTAAGCATTTTAAATAATTTTCATATTAAAAATTCCGATGTTTTCAGAAGATAAAAAAAAAACGGAGATCGGTCTAACAGTGCTTGAAAAAAAATTGTGTTGAACTGAAGTTTCGCTTGCGAGCTTTATGCGTAAGCAAAGCTGTTACAAAACAAATTCATAAAAGTACTTTAATTGAAAATTGAGAAAATCAATCGAAAATGGGTGTTTTTTAAATAATCTTTAGACACAAATGACCTTAAAACACGTTCCAAACATTTTAACGAAACTGTTTTCACAGGAACGCTTCAATTTTTCAGATTTCAATTAATTTATGAAAAATGCTTGCTGGTCACATTCGAAATATGATTTTTTTTGGGGTTTTAATAAATATTATTGCTCTAAAAGGTATTTGATATCATATGATTTTATCATTTATCTGATCAATTTCGAAGTTTTAGAAAACAAGAGCAAAACTACAAAAGACAAGAATTAAACTATAGCCACAATAAACACGTTATTTCCCCAAATCCTAAGAAACTTTGAAGAGGAAATAATACCAAAAATTAAACGATATTTAAACTTGAAATTAATAACCTAATTTTAAGACTTTCAGTGTCAGGATAAAATTTTTGAGATAAGTCCAAATTTTTGAAAAATTGTTTTTATTTAGAATATTATATTGTATATATTGTGTTTTTTTAATGTTTATTCATAAAAAAATTATTAGTAATTTATTTTGTAATTACAGATATGTGTATCGTTAGAATTCTTACAACTGGTCACATTAAAATATTTTACGTATGTATCTGCGCCAACAGTCATTCAATTTGAGAGTCATGTGCGTATTTTGCCAAATTCCCTCCAAGCCAGCCACCAAAACCCCATTGTAGAAACATAAAAACAAATAAGACTCAATCACACACACATACAAAGATGTGTGTACAGTGGTTTTCGTAAGAAAAGCAGTGTAACAGCCAATATTACAGAGCCACAATTGAAATTGATTTTGCAACCGCCAACGTTGTTATTCTGTTTATCTAATAATAATATCCAATAGTAATGCAACTTGGTAAACTTGTTTCTGGACATCGATTGGTATTGCGGTATAAAACTTTGCACGAATAATAAATACCTTTAGAGTATACCACCTTCTGACCAAAAGTTTTCAAAGAAAAATCCAACAAAAACTCTTGACTTTGACTTTTTACCACAAATATCGGAAAATATGTGAGATATATAATTTCAATTGCAGATATGTATAACCTTTCCTCATAATGGTATATCTGGGCGTCAAAAATGGGCTTCTCTAAAAAGCAATTTGATAAAATGTTTCTTAAATATGAGAAATAGTATTATTCCATATAAAGAACGTTGAGAATATAAAAACGTATTAGTTCCTTGACCACGTTGTAAATGTTTACTATGATACTATGGTGTAAAGTTTGATATACATAAAGAATTTAGTCTTTCCTGGTATAACTTCTTCATGTAGATAAGCATTTAGAACAGTCCCTCAAAACATACTTTCCAGCAAGTGATGATCAAAATTTACTCGAACTGTTGCTTAAACTGCGAGCATAAACAAAGTCGATAATTTTTTTTCTTGTGATTTTTTAGTGAAACCTTTTTTATATTCGTGTGAAGATTGATCCCCATAAGTCAATTGTGTGTGTATATTTTTATTATTTGTTTAAAAGTGATAAGTCGTGGAAACTTGCGTCATGCCAGTCGTCCATCCACCTCTGTTAATGATGATGACACCGAATATCGTATAGAAACAGTGCTTGAAAATGATTGTGTAGGCCAGATGCACATATTTCGGTTAACGTTAACTCGACTCGTACCAAAAAACCTGAACTTTTTGCAAAACCGACGTCGAATAGAAGTCATAAAAGAGCTGCTTGGCAATGTAACTATTAACCCTGTGGACACGCTCATAATTTTCTGTGATTACCGTGGTTTGTTTCAACATGAATTTCCTCCACACGGTCGAACGGTGGATAAGGAATTCTACTTGGCCGTTTTGAGACCTCTACGTGATGCAATTTGTCGTAAATGACCGGATTGGAAAATGTATGGATTTTTACCACGATAATGCCCCGGTAAATTCTGCCATGATTCTGATTGAGTTTTTGGCGAAACACGATATGATTCATCGCTCTCCCACCGTAATTCAGTGAAGGTGACGAAGACTATCCCAGCCAAGGAAGTGTATACAAAATTGGATTAAATACTGATATGAATGCATTGAAAAATGAAATTGGTAGCAATTTGAAGGCGATATTAATTGCTTGTACTAAAAACAAGAGAAATTTTTTTTTGGTCAGGCCGGGTCAAATTTGACGATTAAAAAGTATTAAGATTTGTATATATGTACATAAGATGTACAATTAGTTATTACTATTTTTTGGATTTCAAGAGCGCTCTGCTATTGTTTAGAGCATCGCTGTATGTACACATGTTCATATGTGAAGAGAGTGAGCACGAGAATAAACATAAAAGTTTGAGCTTTTAACCAATTAATCTCAGTCGAGAGCCACACAACAATGCTCATATTCACTAATTCAAAAACGTTTCTCATTTTCATAATTATACCGGCAGGTAAATTATTTTTAATATTTAAATGATCTTACAATATTTTGCTTCGTTCACTCAACTTTTGTAACCAGCCGATTTTATACTACATTATTAAATATTAATTTGTTTATTTGAACGTTCATAGCATAAAAGGGTTCATTTTTTTTTAGTTTGAATTGCTGTTTAGCATATAGTGGTCCGATCTAAGCACTTTGTTTGGAAATTGTAGCGTACTGTGTCAAATTACATGCATTGCAAAGGGTGAGATAATTCCAAAAATAGGTAGCTTGGCACCTACAAAACTATGGTATAGGTTTTAACCTTTTAAATCGGTACACAAGTACTAACAATTTGAAGTGCGTAAAGCACTTGTGGAAGTTAAACACTGTACTCGTCGTAAAACCGAAGCACTGCAACTTTTACTTCCACTTAGTGCTATGCTCCAGCACACTGCATAACGGTCACACGGGGCATGAGCAGCGATGCGTTCAGAGGAAGTGCGCTGCAACAGCGTCTACTGACTCCTCTGCTTACTTACTCGGTGATCTATGGTTATACAAAACTGCAATGGCATCGTTGAAACAACTTTGCACACCAAAATGAATACATACAACAATATGGAGTTTGTGTTGTTGTTGACAAGGAATGCAATACCACAGTAGAATTGGGGTAGAGTGAGGCGCCTGTTTGCCGATGATGGCGTTCAAAGTTGCAGCCAAGACGAACGTACGTGTATGTATGAATAAATAATGTGCTTCTCCTTGCGTATGCGGGCGGATGCTCGAAGCAAAATGCTATACTGTCTGCAGCTAAGTTGTACTGCACGCGAATGGAGCAACAATCACAGCATTTCGTTAGAGTGTACACACACAATCATTTTACACCTCCCGAATGTTAAAAATAAACTTGTTGATAAAAATACACACGAGAAAAGAGATCCAATGGGAACAAATTCCATATGCGTAAAACGTGCAGATTTTGATGCTACACATTTTTTAAGACATGTTAACCACATTTGTAATACTAGTTAAAATATTTTATGATGATTCATGCTCTCTGTAGGGCGCTGGTTTATAGCGGCGGGTTTGTGGTTGCCTATAACTGTAGCACGCATTTTTGGGAAATGCTGGTACGGCATGGTAGGGCATGATATAAATCGAATGCTATTTTTGTATAAGAGCTACTGTCAATTGTCTTAATATTTAGAACTTCACTGCGGCAAATTCTTTTGCACAAATTCTTAGTATCACAAACATGATTAAAGAATGTATAGTTTAGTACAGCTTTCCACCAATCCTTTCTCAAAATTCGACTCTTAAATACATATTAGTGGAATGGAGGTGTAGCTTTACTTACCGACTTTTTGCAGGGCATTCATGTTCATTTTCGTTTCCAATCCACTTTGCTGCAGGAGCTTTGCTGACTTTTGCGGAAACTGCTGCTCGCCTGCTGGGCTATTTTACTCGTATTTTTGTATCACTAAATTCCTTCTGATTACAATTTACATATTCACTTTGATATACATATGTAGGTATAATACTGCATTTACATATTTTCTAATACTTATCACTTTTATTTTTGTATCAATAGCACATTTTAATTTGCACACGCGTATATTCAATTTTTTCCAATTCACTTCAGCATATTTTTCACTATAAATTCAATTTGACTTTTTAGCATTTCTTCATTTTGGGGCACTTTTCAGAACGACATATACTTCGCGCTGTCTACACTTCTGCTTCTGTCGCTGTCGCTGCCACTATGTACGCGAGGATGAATGGTAAAAACGAATGTATGTGTGTTGAATTTTTTGCTCCCTTCTGTTGGGAGAGCACCGGTGACTCTCTTTATATTTAACTTTTGATTATACATTTTCGCCACTAGATGTCCGTCGGTGTTGTCTGACGTTTTCCTTTACACGATTCGTAAACAAAATAGTGGTTTGATAAAATTCACACTTCGTGAGTTATCTGAAATTTTTTTTATAGATAGTTACATTATTTCAAGCTGAAAATTACATAAATTTTAATTTAAACGCTATAATAATAATGGAGTCGGCCAATATAAATTTTAATTGGACTTTAAAACATAATCTTATTGGTAAGATAGTGATGTGTCCGATAATAGATGGTACTCAATATCCTTTCCTAATTTATTACAATTTTGGTATTTTGTTAATCCAAAGCCGATTTTATCTTTATTACTTAAAAGAAAATGAATAATGTAATTTATTTTAATAAAGTTTCCGTCCAGTTAATATTCGACTCATTTTATGTGCTAATCGATAGACTTTTGTATATCGATACCTTGTATATGTATCATCGGTAAAGATTACTATTGGTAAATTCAATTGGCGCTATATTAATTCTCGTCAATATTAGCCTTTTTAAAAAATGGAAGACGATGAGAAGCTCGCTCAATGTCGAAATGCAATTTTGGTATTTGTAATCAACAATATTGAAAATAAACTCCCTATAAAGGAAGAAGAAATGCGTGAAATACTTGGCAAAGACAAAGCACTCCTCAAGGGATGTCTACCAAGTGTAATTCAAACTTTGAAAAAGGTAATTAATATTTTAATTTAATAAATTTATGTACCTAAAGCGTTTGTGTTTCAATTATAGGTTTATGGAATAGTTTTACAGCGTGTACCTGAAACTAGAAAGTTTATTTGCTATTCGGAGTTAAGTGCATCCTCCACAGCAGAGTATGATTTGGAACAGATCCGTCATTTAACATTGTTATTTATTATACTGTCTTATCTGTTAATGAAAGATTGCCGAGTGGATGAAGGTATTTAGAAAAAATATTTCCAACATCCAAAGTAGAATTAATTTACGTATTCTATTTACAGAGCAACTATTTAATTTTCTCAAAGGCCTACGGATAGATATCGACGAGGAGCACACATACTTTACAGGAAATCTGAGAAAACTTATTTGTGAAACATTTGTAAAGCAATTATATTTGAAGCGGGAAAAGTCCGATTCTGAAACCGACATGGAAACAAGGTTTACTACACACATACGTCATTTCAAATTGCCTGATTATTAAATGTTTTTTTTTTAATATTTTTAGATATTTGTTCTCTTGGGGTTATCGCGCTACTATGGAATTTCCACCAAAAGATGTTTTACAACAAACTGCAGGGGTACATTTTTTAAATGTTAATATAAAACACTATGTAATTATAATTTGTTATGCTTAATTTCAGATTCTTGGCAAAGAAGCCAGGGATTTCGTCGCTATATATAACAAATATTGTTCAAACGATAACAACGAAGAACCAATAGCTGTGGACTAAATATATTAATCAAAATCAAATCATACTTGTTATAGCTGTACCCACTAAACATTTTTTACTAACCATGTATGTATGTCAACATTTCATAAGTAGCTCTAGTGTCTTTTTATATTTCTAGAATTACAATTTCACTTATTTTTTATTATTTTTAAAGTTTATACTTATATTCATTGTATAGTATTGTAATAATATAAAAAAATAGATTATTCCAAATACTAGTGATTCTCCACAAGCTTACAATTCAACCAGTTTGATGATTGCAGGCTGTGTGCTTTTATAAAAAACTTAATTTTTTTTTTAACTTCTTTGTTTTTACGTATATACTTGTTTGAACACATCAGTCGCCAAACCTAGGAGTTTGGAATGACTTTGCTAAAATTTTTGTTGTATTGGGTGAAAACATCGTCGAATAATGTTGCGGTGTAGTGTTCCCACGACAGTCTGGTCTAAAACGAAAAGGACCCGTATTTTTTATCCGACCAAGGGGTGTCAATAGGGTACCATTCATCGAATACAACCATAGTAAAAAGTCTTGGGGGGTTATGCATCAGCTCGTTAATTTGTTATATATATATATGTATATACTACAGTATACTATAAGGTCTCTGACGTTTCGTTCTGAGTGACACAAACTTCGTGGCGAACCTATTATACCCTGTTCTTCTTCTTCTACTTTGGCGTACACAATGCTTACGTACTTATAGGCAAGTTTACAACCGCGCGAGTCGTTCTTCCTTTTCGCTGTTTGACACCAATTGGAGATTCCACGTTTAGCTAGGTCCTTCTCCACCTCGTCTTTCAAACGAAGTGGAGGCTTCGCTTCCTTATCCAGTCTGGAGAAATCAGAATTAACGGCACGACCAATGATATCAGTATCATCGAACGGATCGGCGAGGTCGTTCCAGATCCTGGCGGAGCTTCATAAAGGGAGCTGCCTTTCGTGCTGTCAAAAGCAGCTTTGAAATCGGCGATGAGGTAGTGTTTTTGAGCAATTTACCTATCGGCCAGCTTGCCGAGCTCCTCGTACTCATGCATTTCGGCCTCTATCTTCGTTATGTCTGCAAATGCGTCCGCTACCCTCTTCAACTCTCGGTATCTACTCCGGCTCGCACGTGTTGTGGTCGACTGTCAGGTTGCGAAGTAGCTTTCTCTCCACTACGATGCGGCACTCCTCATCGTACCTGCTGTTCTTTTGCCTTTACTCTGTTCAGTGTATAAAAATGCACTGCGTTGCGGAACGCTCTTTTCTTAGTTTTATTGGTATCTACTAGGACCTGCGATGTAACAATTTTTACTATGACCTTTTCGAACCCGTATTGAACATGAATGTATATCCGGAAACTATTTCTGTAATGGTTTATATTCAATTAAATCGCTGTATACGATCTTTTGACAGAAGGCCTGTTCCGAAACCTACCTATCATTGTCTTAATTACTCACAAGAATATCAAATCCGCAGTACAACCCATCTACCCTTAGGCTGAGAACGAGTGGATGTTTTCCTGTTCTCTTTCATTTTGATCATGGCTCTTTGGACCTCTCGCGAGCTTAGGAACTATTGGTCAAAAACCAGCACAGGGACGTAACAGGTCTACTGAATTGCTTGCTCTTATCAATGTTCATCTTACAGCAAATGTGCGAGATCTGACTGGACAATATTGGTCCATCCGTAATAAAATCAAGTTGCCTTAGGAAAGATAAGTTTCTTCAATCTGTAAGATCAAACTTCCAAAACTTGGGAAGCATTACAATCAAGAGGAATCACATCGTCCATATTTTCTCTGTTTCGCATTAGTGAAGTATCTAGAGACTTGGTAAGTGAGTGGTACAGTGCCCAACACAGAGCATACCGACAAGTTTATTCAGGAAATCCTTTGTGGAAATCTCTCGAATCTGCAAAAAAACTTTAAAAGTTTTATTTCATGTTACTTTATGTTCACTCTTTTGTAGTATCCAAATGTTTCCTTATTACTCAAGCAACGACCGCGTATGGAAACGGTACTCTTTGGAGATTTAAAAAAAATGGGGACATACAGTATCTACCAGTGATTCGGTTCTTGTATTTGAGAAATGAATCGCTTATTGAAATCAAAATCATCATAATCGTCTCTCCAGATCAAGAATTGAGCGTCTAGTGGAATAATTTGAATCCACAGGCACAGTACAAAATGTCCCCTTCCCAGTGAGCCAATGTAGTTCCCGTAGGGTCGAGAATATTGCTGCCGCTAGCGCGGCACTCACTCGTCTCTGTGACATCGTTGTGGCGAATTTTGCGAAAATATCTTGGCCTACATCCTTACAAGATCAAATTGACGCAAGAACTGAAGCCTGGTCGAGCGGCCAGAATCGTTGTATGTTCGTGAATTGGGCTGAGCAACAACTTGAAAATGATCCGGATTTTCATCGAAAAATCATCTTCAGCCATGAGGGGTTTTAAATATGCCGCTCAATGATATCCGAATATTTTTGACCCGAATTGGATGATATCGACTTGGACAACATGTGGTTCCAACAGAACATCGCCACAAAGAACACAGCGAGTGTAAAAATCGGCTTATTTAAAACCAAGTTTGGTGAACGTGTTATCTCACAAAATGGCCCAATTGGTCGCCTACATATGTCGTGCGATTTGACCCCGTTAGACTATTTCCTGTGAGGCTTTTTTGTTCACGCATCCAAGTTCTACTTTGCAGACTATAAAAAAATTATTTTTCAGTCTACATAAATACTTGGATTCAAAGGTTAAAATAGACCACGTTGAGAAAGAAATTGCCATTTATGTAAAGTTTACATTTTACTTTTGTCGCTTATAGCCGTATACTGCCGAACTACGAACATAAGCGCTGATTTTAGATCACCGAACTGGGATCAAGTCATTATATATGTAGATCAGAAATAAGTCCGTGTCAGGTCTATAGTTAATAACAATGGTGCATATTCTGTTCTGCTGAATAAAGCCATAGCGAAGTTACGACGTCAACTTTTATTGAAAATTAACTTAATTTGATATAAACCACGGCTCAGTTGGCCTTCATTTAGAGTCTTCATCGAATTTTGATTTGGCTTATTTTTTGAGCACCCTTCGTCATATGGTTGGACAGTAATTTTCATAAACCCACGTATTATCATCAGCTTTGATGCTTTTGTTGAATGTAGGGTCCTCAGCTTCTTTGTCAAGAATCTCTTATTCGACCTCTATTTTTTGAAAACGATTCAGTTTTTTTTTACAAGTCTATAAGAGATCCTGAGATCTTCTCCTACCTCTGATACCAGCATGACGACTTTCACGACCTACACTGAATTATTTGTTTTCTTGGTAAAGTAGTCTCTCCAAAACACTTCCATAACTGTTTCAATAATTCCGTAAACGTGATGATATAGTAAACGAAAAATTTATAAATGATTTTTATTTTTTTTTAAATAACAAAAATTTCGTCTCCCATTTTACATCTCTCGTACCAAATTTTTCTCCTGCTATAAAATATATGCTTCCGTCTCCCTTAGGAACGATACGAGCTTTCAGATTTCAAGAGTAATAGTTTTTCATAAAGATATACATTTTTGTTGTGAAGGGTATACATAGAAACCGCAACAATTGTGGTATCATCTTCGAACCAACAACAACATCTACCACTTTCGCTCCCACCGCTTCAAACCAGCGCAATGCCTACAGCGTAATATTGCCGCTTGAACATCATCGATCGTCTGAGATCATCGAAGCAAACTTCCTCCAAACAAATCGAGTTGGATAAAGGAACCGGCACAACAAGCAACGGCGCAACGACGCAACAAACAACCACCAACAGCACCAGTCAGACAGTCGCCGAGTTCGTACACGCGCATCACAGTCAGTATTAACTTGAATGCGATACGGTGTGAACGTGACTTGATCGCATCGACCGATCACAGACCGACCGATAAGCGGCTAAGAAAAGCAAAACAAAACAAATTTTCTGTACGAAACTTGAAGCGGGTAAATTGAACTTGGTGTTTAGTTGAAATTCTACTTGGAAAGCCAAAAAACAAAAACAACAAAAACGAAATCGCAACAAAAAAAGGCTCTGCTTAAGGAGCACATCATTAGCAAGTAAGGTGTAGCGTTGTTGTGTCGCATTGCTGCATCGAGTGGCGGCAGGAGTGTGTGGCGGTGTCAAGAAGTGGTATAGCGCGTTGCTGGGTCGTTCGATGGCCTGATGTGGCTTTATAACTCTTCTTCCTCGTTTTACTATATTTGCTTTGTTGTTGTGGTGTATGAAGTGTGTGCAAAGTGTCTTCGCTGCCATGGTGTTGGCCATTATTAGCAATTTACTTGCCAATCTGAGAAGGTCTTAAAGATATATGTATGCACATACATATATACGTATCGAAATATGCATAATTGCCCGTGTGTGCGTATACATTTACTATATACTGTAAAGGGATGTGTGAGCAAACATTTCTGGATTTACCTGTGCGCAGTGTACGCTGAAATATTTATATGCTAAAGTAATTGCAATGTTATTGGCGATAATTAAACAAAAATCAGCAACAGATAAAATTATTTAACTTTGCATGGACAGTGTTTACAACTTTGTGGCAAATAAAGCGTCATTATATTTATTTATTTATCCAGCTTAACTTAAGCATAAGTTTGGAATTTCAACTCGAACTTTTTGTGTAAATTTTTACTGAAGACACAGCAGTTAGTATAATAATTTATACATGTTTATAAGCATGTGTACGACACTTGCACCCACTAACATCATTAATGGCTTTATTGTGTGTATGTACATATTTATATAGATGCAAACATATCAACATACGGTCAAGTGTCATAAAAAGCTCGTATAAATTTGCGGCTCTGTTTGTGACAATAACTGCATAAAAACAAGTATGCAAAAAATTATAGATTCAGTTTTGCGGCAACAAACCGGCTGAAAAGAGCCACATGCATACAACATACAAGTACGTACATATGTATGTATGTACGTACACATCTGTTATCTGAGTCAATAAAACGTTAGATCGCTATGTGCGTCTGGGCGCATATATGTATGTTTGCATATGTTTATTGATTGATATATTTCTTTTTAATTTGGAATGTATGGTATACGCGTTTAGCAGTTCAATCAAAATTTATATTAGAGCGGGTT